GGCCGGCCCGCCCGCCGTTTCCGGGGTGCGTGTGGGGCAGTCTGCGGGGGCCCCCGCGGCCTGGCCTGGCCTGCGCCGCTCCCCGCCCCGGCCCTCGTCTCTTCGCCGCCGCCCGTTTCTTCAGCCGGCGTCCGATCGACAGGAGGAGCAGCGGAGCAAACTTTGAAAGGCTTTGCCTCGGCTCGGCCCGGCTAGGGCGGTGCGGGCCGGTCGTGGCTCCGGGCGGGAGCCGCGGGTGTTTACAGGTCCGTGGGTTGCTGCTTGTGGCTCTCGCTGCGGGGCGGGGGGGGGGGGAGGCTCCGGTGGCGGCAGGCTGGACGGTGATCGTTTCGAGGGGGTACGGACGTCTTCGGCTTTTGAGCTGTTCTCGTTTCTCTTCCCCGTCCGCTTTTGTAGCCCTGATGGTGACAGGTGGAGCTCTGAGAGACTGAGGAAGGGGCCGGTGGCGGGCCCACCCCTGAGCTCGGCTCTGTGGCCTGTTTAGAAGATCGGCATTGTTATGACTTAGCCGAAGAAAACAAGTAACCTGTAAAAAAGTGAGCTCTAGTAAATAATCTGGTGACATAACCTTCCAGCAGACCGCCTGGAAGAAATGCCTCTCAATGCTGTCCTCCAGTTAAGAACATGCTGCCCAGTGAAGTGGACTTGCTTATTTTGAAACTAGAAATAGCAACAGTTGGCTGTTTTGACAGATATGGTATTGTTAGAAATAGCTCTTTGCAATAGTTCTCTAACTCGGAGTGGTACTGTGTTCTTTTTATGCAGTAAGGTTTGTGAGCAGTCATAGTTTAATTTCAACAAGCCACAAACAGTTTGGACTGTATTTACAACAGAAGTGATATAATACTAAAAAATATAAAACCAGACACTTAGTCTGTTGATACATCATGAGCTTAGACTGTTTCTGAATCCCGCTTGTTATAAAGAAGCATGACATCTGCTCTTAGTGGAACATTTTTTTTTAAATGGGTAGCAAAACAGGTATGACACCTGATAAGTCATTCTTAGTGCACACAACTTAAGTGTTTCCTGTTTCTAAGGTAACTATGTTGGCATTGACTGAAATTACAGGCAGGATGAGTCCAGGTGAGGTGACTGTCTTATAAACAGGAAACAAATGTAGTTGTTAATAGACTTGTTTGCCCTTTCTACACTTGTTATTGTCTTGGGTTTTTTTTGCCCTTATACTTTGAAGTTTGCTGTTAATTGTTGATCCTATTGGTCTGGTGTCTCCAGACCAAACTCATGGCAAGCTTGCTGTCTACCTGTCTCTCCTCTTTAGAGAAATACCTAATCCTGTTCATCTTTCTAGCATAGTGCTCCTAGATATTTAATTCATTTTAACTGATGTTGAAATGGCTACTGTTGGTGTTCAGTTGAGTAAGTGGAAGAGCAACTGTGCAAACATAACTTAGGAAAAGTGGTCAGTGATATCTTGTGTCCCGGTGATGGATCATTGCAAAATCAGGTTGGGAATTCTTATCACTAAGAATCACGGTTGAGGACATGACTATTATAGCCAGATTTCTCTTTTGTTCTAAAACCATCCCTATTATATGAATACTGCAGTTCTCCTTTGCCTTTTGAAACAGTATTTAACTGTTCTAAAACACTTTCTGGATGGGAAAACGGCACAAAGCCTTTGAGAACAGGTCCTTAAATTGCTTTCCCATCCCTCCAACAGAAACTATCCTACAGTGTTTGAAGGGAAAGTGGGAAGTGAGAGTTTCTTGGCATTTTTTTTGTAAACAATCCTAGCTGAGATGTGAAAATGCCTGAAGTGGACATGTCATGATTGATGCATGCCTGATATATTTGAGGTAGATTCCAAACCTGAAACTTAACTGGCTGTAGTGTATGGGAACAAATGTATGTGCTTAGTTCAGCTGCTGTCTGTAGTAACTGTAAAGTTACCGTGTCTGGTCAGCATTGAGGCTTCCAACTGACTGGAGTTGTGTGCAGTTTTCCAGTACATAGAATGTTTAGCTGGCTTTTCTGTGTGTAAACACCTACATTTGAACTGGTTAAATTAATCAGGAGCTTATTTTACTGTTCATGTGACTTAGACTGCAAGGTTTTTTTCTCTGTAGATTTCAAAATGATAGACATCCTGAAATCTAGTTTACCTATGGTATGATTCAAAACCTCCTTTCCCCCTTGGAGCGCTCTTCATGTGGGGCTTCTGAGAAGTGTGCTGCTCCTCCATATGTTCTGTTTGTGCATGGGTTTGAGAAATGGGTAAGAGACTGTGTTCTGAAGAACAGGTTTAGCAGTGGTGCTTTTAGCATGTTTTATATGATGCTTTTTGATAGGAGTTTAGAACCTGATCAGCAAACATGTTGCAGTTTCTGTCACTTGAGCTGTTTTATTCTCCACATGCAGTACATGTGGCCTAAAATCTTTACAGCTCTTGAAACCCAGTGGGAGTAGTTACCTCTGCAAAATACTAAAAAAAAAAAAAAAATTCCAAAGTTCAGCTTAAAGTAATTTTGAAATTACTTTCTTTGTAAGGCTGTTTCTGAATTTGTGGAAGATCTCAGGTTTGTCATCTTCAGCAGGAAGGCTTAGTTACTCCCAGTGATCTGCCTCAGGTTAGTAGAGAGTGTGTTTGTCAAACCTGACTACGGGTTACATACTGGCCCTCTCTATTTGGTGATTTTTTGATTCTTGCCTAAAACTGTATTATATTCATGTTTTACTAACCCAATAGAACTCTGCTGTTGAACAGAATCTACTGAAATAGATGCTGTATGTTTTGCTGATGGCCTGCCGATTTCCTTAGAAAGTGTCCAGGCTAAGTAATAGTGTAGTTTTTGGTAAACATTTTCTACCTCTTAAAAATCAGCTGTGTTGCACAACATAAAATGGTAATACTGCAAGAGCTCCTGAGTCCTGTGTCTCATAGCTACTTTCAATTACAGATCCTATGATACAGTAATGGATTAAGCTAATTTTTGTCAGCCAATCTAAATTTTTTTGGTAAACTCTCTCTGGCTGAGGCCTGACTTTTCTGAACCTGTAAAGACAGCAGGTTTGCCCCATGAACGGAAAGATTCTTGAATTGTTGAGGCCAGTGTAGGGAGATTCATTCCCACTAAGAATATATGCATCTAAAAATAAAGCCTGCTTTGCATAGCATTCATAGCTTTCTTAATCAGTGCTGTAGTAACTGAATTTTAGCCTTGCATTGAATGATCAGAGAGGTACCTGTGCACTTCTGCTTTCTGGGCAGGGCTCCCTTAATTACTCTGATTTTTATACACTATTGTGA